ATCGACCTCGCACTCGCGCTTGCTTGCCAGCTGGAAGACCAGCAAGGCTGAGGAGCACCTGTCGCCGCTGGATCGTTGTCAGCGAAGGCGTGCGCGAGGAGAGGAGGTGGGCCATCTTGTTGCCAATGATGCACATAAGCTCTACAAGCTGCACTGCAACGTGGCCGCGACAGATTTTCCCTGGGCGCTGGCCACATCGAACCGCGCGATCACGGCGCCCACCTCTCGCCCGATGGGCACGCGGTAGATCTCTGCGTCGCCGCGCAGGGACGCAACGGCAGGCTGAGAAGCACCGCCGAAGCCCCATGCGCTTGAGTAGTTGGCGTTCTCGGCGAAGGAAGCGCTGTCGCCGAACGGCTTTTTCAGGGCGTCTTCCACGTGAATCCTGGCTCGGCGGAGGCCCCGGCGAAACGCGCCGACCTCGCACGCAAACAAGAGGTCAGCATCAGCGTCCTCGACGATCTTAGCGCACACCCGCCCGAGGTTGGCGCAGTGTTTGCTGGGCTTCCTTCCGGGCATCGCCGACTTCTCGAGCCCAGAATTAAAGGAAGCAGCCGTGAAATGCGCGGGCTGAGGGGCATCGCGAGCAGGCGCCGCCGAGGGCGCGCCTCGGTCTTCGTTCGCAGGCTGAGAGGCACCACGAGAAGCCGAGGCCGCGGACGAGTCTCGCGGCGAGGCGAGGGCCATTGCAATGTGACAGCGCGAGAAAGGGAGGGCGGCGACACAAAGGAGGCAGTCCCTGAGCGAAACACGGCTACGAGGAAACTAGAAATGAAGCTGAAACAATCGCGACCCCTCGCCCCTTCCTTTCCACCCTTTCCCCGATGCTGCGTTGGGCAAGGGCTGGGGGTCAGAACGATGTGAGTCTCATCTTGTACTACTGCGGAACCTCCTCCTCCTCATCATCATCCTTTTCCCCCTCCTCCGCCCTCCTCCTCCTTATCCTCCTCATCCTTTTCCCCTTCCTCCTCCGCCTCGGTCTGCAGGAATCCATCGGAATCTTTAGGGATCTATAGGAATCCATGGAATCAATAGGCATCTATTTGAATCTATGAGAATTTATCAGGAATCTATACGAACCCATGAGAATCCATAGGAATATATAAGGAATCCAGGGGGATGCATCGGAATCCATCGGAATCGATGGGGATCTATATAGGAATATATAGGACTGGAAACCCCATAGGAATATGTATAGGGAATTTCCGCAGCATTCTCCCGTCGGTTCCATAGGGATCTATATGAGGAATCTATGGGATTTTGCAGGAATCCATAAGAAACCATGACGAACAACTTTAAGAATCTATCAGGAATCTAATGAAATTTCTAGAAACCTACGAGGAATCTGAAGGAATCCGTAAGACAATCTCTTAGAATCTACAGGAATCTGTAGCATTCCATTGGAATCTGTGTCGGAAATTTCCGCAGCATTCTCCCGGATCCAACCCCCATAGGTACACAAACACTCGCGGAGAGTCGATAGGCAATCTATAGGAATCTATAGGAATCCATAGGAAAAAACGCTCCCGCGGCACTCCCCGGTTCCCGCCCCCATAGGTGCACATATGCCCGCGGCATTCCCCGGCACCCGCCCAGACCCCCTTGGGGAGTCAAAATATTTTTTGACACCATTAGAAACCTATCAGTCTTCGCTGTTAGGTAAAAGTGTGTGTGTTGAATTCTTGGTTCTCTCGGAAGCTTCGTAAAGGCCGTCAGAGGGCTCCCGCAGGGCCCCAAGATGTCCAGGAGGGCCCCGCGAAGGCCCCAAGACGGCTCCAAGAGGGCCCGAAATTTCACGCAGCACCAGCGCCAGCACCACGGGCAGCCCGGGCAGCACCAGCAGCATCGACGCCAGCAACAACAGCAACATGTTTAGCCACAACAACGAGAGAGGCAGAAACGGAAAGACGATTCCAAGATGGACCCAGCAGGGTGTTGAAAGGAACGCGAGATTTTCTTTGTCGCCCCAAGATGCCCACCCCTGCTAAGCAGTGGCCCCAAGGTGACCCCAGGGCGACCCTGTGATCCCGAGAGAACACCGAGACGAACCAATTGTCTTCCAGCTGAACTAAGGCTACCGCGTGACCCCGGTGTGAGGTGACCCCGGGACGATCCCATGAGCCCGAGACGATTTCGAGATTGCCCCAAGATGATCCTTTTCAAAACTTAGTGACGATCCCAAGGTTGTGTCAATATGGCTCCAATGTGACTCCGATGCGTGTCTTTGTTTTGCCCTTGCTCTTGGTTTGGGCCGATACGACGGATGGGGGTGCTGGCCCTCCGCCCCCTCGTCGTCGTTTTCTTCCTCCTCCCCTTCGTCCTCGTCGCCCTCGCCGTCGTCGTCGTCGTCGCTGTCCGCCTGGCCCCCTCGGCCCCATACATAGTAAAAAACCGAATCCCGAACACAAGCCGAATCCATCCGTTCTCTGATATGTCACCCACCATATGATATCTTTACCACATAAAACGATGGGCCTGCCCCCAGTGCGGATCAATCAGTACTGGAGGCGTCATAAGGATCCTGGCCAGGCCTTGTAGTTAGCACTTGCTTGAGGCAGGGAAGTCAAACCTGGGTGACCTTGCTAAAGGTAAATGGCTTGGCCACTCAGCGAAAGCGACAGCGAGTTGAGCCACTAAACCAACATTTGCGCGCCCGCACCTCAGTGAATTCTGTCCTCCTCCTCTTGTTCCTTCTCTTCCTCCTCGTGCTACTATTTCTTAGGAGTCCGACGATGGGAAATTTATTCCTCTCGAAATCATCCCTTCTTGTAGTCCAGGAGGGGGGCCATGGTAATCCGGGGGTGGGGCACTGTCCGGGAGGGGGGAGAGGGTTGTTGTCCGCGGGCCAATATGATTGATGTGTACACATCTATGTATATATGCATATATATACATATGATGTGTTGGGTATGGTTGGCAGCGCGTGCCAGGTATTCGTCCAAATGGCCCAGTGGCATTGCTTCGTATCAAATCATATAGGTTCAGTTTCCCTGAGTGGGTCGCGTCGGCGCGAGCTGCAGTTTGAGCCAGAATCTGATATCCGCCATCTTCCTTGAATGCAGGAGTGGATAGACTGAGCCATCATGCGGTGTCAAGACGACAAGAGCCGTGCAACGAAGACGTTCAAAACGAACCACCCTCGTCATAAGGAAATGTCAAAAGCCCGTAGCGCCATGCACTCGTACATGTTGAGGTTTTGGGCACCACTGGCATTGCGAGCGAAGGATTGGCAGGCGCACGCTCTTCAGTGTCGGTCATCGTGGAACTTTCGTGTCGCGCTTGCCCAGACCGAATTTCGGCTTGCTTCGACATTGCAAGCGCGACACTGCAGCGACGTTGACGGGCTACGTCAATCAGTTTTGACGTTAGTGTTGTCAAGGGCTGGCCGCGCGCAGTAAATGTGAGGGCGAGCCAACTGGCAACTATTGGTTAGCGGTCTCGGCGCATGCGCATACCGACTGAAAGTGTACAGCGATTGCGGCCCCCAAAAGCGTTATGTTCCGATCTCTCGCACTCCAGATTGGCCCGTAGTTTCTCAAGCAGGCGTTAATTCCTAAGTATAATGATGGCTGCTTCGTTTCAGGAGCCACAACTAGCGCAACTACGGGTCCATCCTGAGCATCAAAGACAACGTCGAGCGCTCCTTGTTGCCGTAGTCGCTACGAGCTCACAGTCCAAATGGCCTTGGCGGCGCTGCTTCCTATTAAATCACATAGGTTCCGCTCCCATGGGCGTGTCGCGTCGGTGCGAGCGGCAGCTTGGCTCAGCATCTGTTATCCACCATGTTGTTTGAATGCAGGAATGGAGCGACTGAGACATCATGTGGGAAAAGTACGACAGAGAACTTGCGCAATGCAGACGTTCGAATTCAACCACCCTCGCCAAAATGAACCTCAAAAGAGCGTGACGCAACGCACTGGTACGGTTGGCGTTGCGTGCGAAGTACTGGTTGGCGCACACTCTCCAACGTCACCCCGGCCCAGAAGCGTGTCGGTGTGCTTCGACGTTGCAGGGTGCGACGTTGCAGGAGCGAATGGGATCGACGTTGAAGGGGCGCGTCAACAACTTCTGAGGTAAATTTGTTTGAAGATTGTAGCTTCCTCATGCTTCTCCATGTCTTATCGCCGCTGCTTTTGGGCGGCTGTTTGGATGCAAATTTGGATCGTCCATTCCCACCACACGTGGCAAGACGACCGAACAGGGCCCGATAAGCCACCAATCTGTCCCCAAGAGCCTTCAAGATGCCCCCCAGACGGTCCAAATGGGCTTCAAGACAGCTGTCAGACAGCCCAAGAAGCCCCCCCAAGAGAGCCCCGGGAACCTTCAATGGTTCATTGCATTTCAACATTGACCCATCGTTGCCCAAGAGGGCCGAAGGTCCCCTAGGGTGATTCCAACAGTGCGCATACAAAACGCACCAGAACGTGTGCACGCACACACACACACACTCGACATGAGCACGTGTTTTCCGGGCAGCTTCGCGCTCGGCGTCGATGCGGTTCCCGGCGGAGGGGCAGCAGGCATTACCAGAGGGACGTGAGGGAAAGTCAGCAGGCAAGACATGAGCACACACTCACACACACGTGCAACATACCTGACGCACACGATGGTCTACCGTGTTGGTCTGCCGTGTTTGCTTACTTCGTTTTCTTCAGCGTTTGGTGGCGAGACCTTGTTCACGAGTCGGTGGACAGATCAGCGGTTCCCGTTCTTCGCTTCAGCATTCTCGGCGTCGGAGGACAGAATTGCGACACCACTATCACCACGCGTGCCACCTCCAGCGAGGAGGTCCACGATCCCTCCCTGAGCTGGAGATAGGGGATGCCTCGAGCGTGGAATGTGTAGCTTCTCCGTGCTCCCGTTGGCGGCGGACACGTCGGGGCAGGACGAGGGGACGGCTCTCTACGAAACCATGGGGCTCATCAGACAGGATCGGCCCCTCGGATGCCGTGCGCCCCCAGATTTTAACGAGACGGCGGGGAGCCCTCTTGGGAGCTCAGGCCCTTCGCCGTGCCTCGTTGTGTGCGCCGCCAACACGGTCCCCCTTGCCCTCGCTCCCGCTAATCCTCTGCGTCCGTGCAGGCAAGCGAGCGTGCGTGGGCTTTGTTTTGCCTCCGCCGTCGCCGCCACCACAGCCACCGCCCACGATCGTTCTCCCTCTTCCTCCTCGTCTCATCCTTCCCCTTCTGCCGCTTGCACGATCCTCAGCGCTCGCTGGTCACCCTGAACCCCTACACTTCATCACCTTCCACTCTCGCGCCCCCGAGTCATGTGGCTGCGCGCGGTGCCCGCCGCGCTGCTGCTGGGGGAGTGCGCGGTGCGCTCGCAGGCCCTCGTGTCGAGGGCAGACAGCAACCTGCGCAGCGGCACCTTCTTGGACCTGGACCATGTCGAGCGGTTCCCGAAGAATACAGGGCGGCATACACAGAACCTTTCGGTTGTCAGCACGGTCTTCTTGCCTCGGCGCTGGACACCCCCAGCGGCGCCTCTGGCGCCGCCCCTGGCGCGCAGCGCGCGCCAGGGAGGGGGTCCAGCGCCGATCCAGGAAATCCGCGCGGACCTCCGAAAGATTATGATTCCGCTGATGTTTTTCTTCTAGGTTCGAATCGCGCTTGTCAACGGAAGTTGGTGGGACTGCGGAGTTGGAAAGTCAAGACATGCTGGGCACGACTCTATCCCCCGAAGACCGCGTCAGGGCCCACAGTCGTAAGTTCGAGGCGGAGTTCGTCGTGGAGTTGAACATGACCGAGGCGAACGAGCGTGGCGCCAAGTTGGGGATCATCATCAACAGGAACGCCGACTTCGAGCCTGCAACGATATACAAAGTTCAGAAAATTGGCCTTATTGAGGAGTGGAACAGGGCCCACCCCAGGAAGGACGTCCATGTTGGCGACGAGTTGGTCCAAGTCAACGACATCCAATGGCACGCGAACACGGAGACCTTCATGAATCGCATCAAAGGCCAATTCATTGCTGGTCGTAAGCGAGTGGCCGGTGCGAGTGAAATATTGAAGCTCTACATCCAAAGGCCAAGGGTTTGGAAGCACAAGCGCTTCGCGTTGCAGCGCGAGGACGCGCACGACAAGAAATACGCAGCGGATTTCGTTGCTGAGATCCCTATGGGCGACATCATGGACGACATGAAATACGCGGCCGAGATTGTCGGAAACACCACTTTCACGTCCATCGACGGCTTGATGGGTTGGACGCTGGGCTTCAAGAGGCACGGGGACTGGCAGCCAGCCACGATCCGAAAAATTGAGCGTCACGGCGCCCTGGCCAAGTGGAACAAGAAGCACGCGGACCAGCTGATCTTGGAAGGGGACGAGATCCTCAAGGTCGACAAGGTACTTTGGCAGCACAACTCCACGACCTTCATGAAGAACCTAAAGCGCCACTTCAAGGCTACCCTGGAGACGGATGCGAACAACAAGTCTTGGTCGGTGGTCCTTGCCGTCCGAAGGCCGCGGCCAGTCCAGACTGCCTTCGACGAGGTGCATCCCGTGCAGGAGATCGTGTCTTGGAGCAGGACAAACACCAGTGTCGCTTTTCGCTTCAATAGGACAGGTGAGACTAACCTTCTGGGCTGGAAGCTCTCCCCTGGCGCCAAGTCCGCCAGTGGTGTCGAAGGGCCCGTTCTCGTCGAGAAGGTCCGGAGCACGGGCCTGGTGGCCGAGTGGAACGCCGAGAACCCGGACAAGACCGTCAGCTCCAGCGACCAAATCGTCACACTGAACGGCATGACTTGGGACAAGTACGCCAGCGCACAGGAGTTCTATGACGCTGTCCAGACCGCGCTCACGGCTGCCATCCACGCGGGACCTGCGGGCGACGTCGTCCAGCTCACCCTGGAGAGGCCCGTGCAAAGTGTACAGTACCACCGCCTGAACATGGAGCATGGGGTGCACACGGTGTATCACGTGCACGCCACGACCTCACCTGCTCCCGACGCGGCAATTGACACTGCATACAAGCAGGTGGGTGCTAAGGACGACTCAGCTGATGCTACCGGTGCCACCGATGAAGGAAAGCCAGTCGGCGCCGAGGAGGATTCGGACGGCGTCATCGGTGCCACCGAAGATGATGATAAAGCAGTCGGTGCCGAAGATGACTCTGACGGTGTCATCGGTGCCTCCGAGGATGATCAGGCGACAGGTGCCGAGGAGGACTCGGGCGGTGTCACCGGTGCCTCCGAAGATGATCCTTAGGCCTCGGTGCCGAGGAGGACTGAGGCGGTGTCATCCGGGTGACCGATGGTGATAATCCATCCCTTGTTGCGGCTGCCGAAGATGTTGACGAGCTGGTGGCCCGATTTAGTTTCCTCAAGGTCGTTCCTGCGTCCTCGCCTCTCTCGCTCCCCCGTCACTCCTGCCCTCCTGCCCTGTCCCCTCCTGCTCCATCTCTCCCTGCTCCTGACCCCCCCTCTCCTGCTCCCGTTCCTCGTCGACCTGAGCCGAGCGGGATGGGCGAAGGGGATGGGGAGAGAGGCGAGGGGAGGTAGAAGAAAGGCGCGGGCGGGACTTCTGCGCACTCATCCTTGTTAGGTAGATTCCTGCGCCAGAGCCTGCAGATGCGAAGGCGACGCCAGAACGGCAGTCGGATACGTACGCATTAATACCGTCGTCAAAATCGGAGGGTCGATTCCACCGTGATAACACTCAGGCAACCTGAGAGGCCTACAAGGTATTTTCGGTGCAAGCTAAAGGGTGCAGTCCACTCCACCTTGCAGCAATCATCCTACCCTCCCACCCGCAACTTGTTTTGCAACCCATGTGGCTGCAATTGTGGTGACTACTTGGCGCTGGCTGGCGCATCTCTGCGGCTGCGCCAGCGCGCGCAAGCTCGCGCGCAGAGCGGTCAACTGATTATGCACAACCGACGCAGTCGCGATGCCCGCTTAACCATCTCAAAAATCGCGCTGGGGCGCGGGTACTTCAGTGCGGGTCTGTGTCTCGGGCGTGCGCTGTATGATGATGACGCCGACAACGGCGGCAACGATGATGATAGTAGCGACAGTGGCGGCGTTCATGACGATGTCGACGGCAAGGCTAATGACGGCGCCGATGCCGGTGACGACGATAACGAAGATGATGTCCATGCGTCGGTGATGAATGTTATTGGCTGATGATGGCGGCAAGGGCGGCGAGTGACGATGACGATAACGGCGTTGATGCGGTGGCGCTGATGAGGGTGATGGTGAGGAAATGCCCGCCCGGAAATGCAACAAATCGAGCAACATTTCCGAACAAAAACGTATGGTTTGTTTCATATGTTGTTTAAGGGTTTGTTTCAAGATTTGCCTCGGAAGCCATTCGTTTCAGACTGATTTCGACGCGCGCGTGGCGGCGCGCGCGTGTGGCCCGCGTGGCGTTTTTGATACGGATTTGTGCTGGATCAACGTGGATGCACCGCGTGGTGAGATGAGAATGCGGAATCTGGACGAAACTGCTAAACCCATGTTGTTTTCGTTCGGTTTTAGCGAGTGCGCGTGAGCGAAATATTTGTGATGAAAAAGCCATCTTGCTTTCCTATGTGCGTATGTTGGCAATTGGCAGAACTTGTGCTTTTGGTATGATTTCGACGTGCGCGCGCGTGTGGACATTGTGTATTGATGTGTAGGGATTCTGGAGCATGTGTATTCTACGACAAACGACTGCGCGCGCATAGTATCATTTGACAGGGATGATTGTGGGCGATAACCGGCATAGAGGGAATTGTACGGGTTCAAGAAATTGGCGGTGGGCCCGAACCATAAGTAATCCGCAGTGTCCCAGAGGGCGGGAGGGATGGCAGAACTACGTGGTGCAATACATCGGGCGCAAGCTATGTAGTGCAACATATTCGGTGCAGTCAGTATAGTGCAGCCGTGGGTCACTCAAGGGACATTGGATTTGACAGATCAGAGAAACTTGGCACGATCTTCCCAAAATAATCAGCTGAGCAAGAAAAGCAGGTTGGATGGACCAGCAACTCGCCGATGGATGTTGGGCCTCACTTAAGAGCGTCTGCCGGCCAAGGCCGCGCAGGCAGGGACACATCAGAAATTTGAATTGCGAATTTGTCGAGGGCACAGGGAAAGCATGTACAATGGCAGGGTATCTTGAGAAAGTGCAATGAAAAGTCCGATTTGCGAGACGTATCCCGCAGGAGCGTTTTGGGACCCCTTTTTGCCTGTTTCAGACAACGCTGTCACATCGCAAGAGGTGCGAACGGCAATAGCTGAATTATAGAGGGGGACAGCACTTGGACCAGACGACATTTTGCCAGAATGGTGGAAAGCCGATGGAAATCACGCCAAAGGGCTGGAAACAATTGCTACGCTGATGGGCCAATGTTGGCACGAGAAACAAGTGCAGGAATATTTGAGCAACATGATGACATGTGATGATTATGATCAGGAGGAGGAGGATGGGCGGTGGAGGTGGATGGGGGAGGAGGAAGAGGGAGAGGAAACGGATATGGAGTTCGATGATGATAGAGTTGGAGGGGTGGTTGTGGATGATGGAGGCGAAGGGTATGTGCGATGAGAAGTGATGAAGGAAGCGAGGAGGTGGAGGAGGTCGATCGGATATGAGTGTGGAGGCGGGGGACATGGGTAATGACGAAGGCACACTGTCAAGAGGAAGTCAGGGGGCTTAGGACGGTGGGAGCGGAACGCGGAAGCGGAGCGAGTCGCCGCGCCGTCCACCGATCTCCGCCTCGAGCCTGGGTGGGCTCTCGGGCGCTTTTGCATTGGTTGGGCCCTCCTTCGGGGCAGCAGGCTCGCGCGCGCGCCCCTGCGCATCCCACGTGGGGTGCCTTGCGCGCCAGGGGCAGGGGCTTCGTCGTGCTCGTCGTCGGCGCCGCCGCCGCCGCCGTCGTCGTCGTCGTCTGTTGCTGCTCATCCTTCCCCTCATCCAGGTCGTCCTCCGCAGCAGGAGATGGGGCCAAAAGCTTGCGGGGGCAAGAGCAGGCGAGCATGTGGATGCGTGCAAGGATGAGAAGGCCATGGCACGCCTCAGCATCCAGGTGCGTAGGATCTATCGAGGTAGCCGATCTTTACTTGGGTAGTGGCGCTTCACCTCGTCCTCATGTGTTCTTTTTGCTTCTGCCCGTACCCGTCTTCCTCCATCTATATCATGATCATTTTGCTTTGTTGCTGCAGCTACTCTTCATCAGCAGCATGCGCGCCGATTCGTGCAATATTTGTCTGGATTGACATTTCACCCGCGCGTTCGCCGGGCTGAGAGGTTATGAGTGAGCCAACGGGGGGCTGCGCAAACACTAGAGAGCTTGCCGCCTGGGCCCCACCGCTAGCCGAAACGGCGAGCACGAGTCGGGCTGGCCCCGTCTGCCATGGCCCACCAGTTTTGTGCCTCGCTCCTCGGCTTCGGTCTCCTCGTCATCCTCATAGTCTCCTCCTGTTCTCTCTCCCTCGTCCTTCTCCCATCCTCCGTCCTCCCTCCTCCCCCGCCGGCCCCCACTCATCCAGACTCGCACTTCGCTCCTCCCCCACCGCGCGTCCTCTGTCCACCGCCGCCCATCTGTCTTCTATGCCCCTAGGCCCCTTCGTGTGTCCGCCGTCAGCCACCTCGCTCCTCCCGCCGGTCCTCCTCATCATGAGACCGTTGCCCCTCCTTGTTCTCCTGGTCCTGCCTTTTCCGCTTCCTCTTGCTCCTCGTCTTCCTCTTTTTTTATCCCCATCCATTGGTCGTGCGATCCAGGAGCTGCGCCATGGCTGCGCCGCACGTTGCACATTCGGCGGCCAACACCCAAGCTGCTTGCTATGGTTTGCGCCGAAGGTCGCGCACTCGGTGGCAGAATGTAAGACGGCCGGCTACTGGTGTAAGGTGTGGGCTCGGCTGCCGAAAATGCAACGTTTTGCCCTAGTTGCACCATTAGTTGCATACTCGGTGGCCGAACATAGCACGGCCTGCTACCTGTTGCGACATCAGTTGCGCATTCGGCGGCCGAACGTACAAGGTCTGGTGGTTGGTTGCGCCATAAGTGGCGCACTCATCGGGCGAACGAAAAAAACGCCTGCTGCCGGTTCAGCCAGCGAGATCACATTACGAACACAAGCCAGGCTGCGCCCGACGCCGAGCATCTTGAAACAACGTGGATACGGAGCGGAAGGACGGGGTAGGGGGACGGAAAACAGGGGGAGTATTGGGAGGGGAAATTGACAACAGCGGAAACAGGTGGAGGGGAATGGGTAATAGCGGTCTTGCGCTTCTCTCGGTCAACCGTTTTCCAACTCGAAAAATTGGTCATGCGCCATTCCCCGTGTTGGTTTGTTCATGATCGGAAGACTTTGGCGGTCTGAACGCCCCACCCCCTTCGAACAGGGCGTAGACTTTGAACTGCGACCATCCAGGTTCTCCGTGCCTGACGGAGGCATCACGAGCCGTGAAGGCCAGCACGGAAAGCAGGTCGCTTTGTTCGCCAATGCGTCGTTGGAAGAGTTAGTTGCCAAGCCGAAGGAGTCCCAGATCATCATGGACCTCGGGCAGCCACCCGACCTCGGCGATCACGAGCTCCGCCGCGTGGAGCAGCAGCTTCTCGCCCAGGCCGAGCAAGCTTCTATTGGCATTTAGGGCGGCGCAGGCCCAGATCCTCTTAGGCTCGCAAAAAAATGCGCGGAGGGGGCTGGCAACAAGACGCGCAAGACGGAGCCTCCAGCCGCCGCCGCATCCCAGCAGCCTCATGCCGGACCGCCCCCTGGAGGACCTGCTGCCGCAGCCGCGTGTGGCCTCGTGTCTGCCGCAGGTGCAGTGAACCTCGGCGCTCCCGCCGCCACAGAAGCGGCCGCCGTTGGGCCCAAGGCCGAGGCCACCTGCGATAAAATCGCCATTGAGCTTGCGGCTGACCTTACCTTGTCCGTGCCCAGGCCGAAACAGCGCACCGCTCGCAGCGTCAAGGGCTTGGATAAAGGGCTGGCGCAGCGCGCAGGTCCCCCCAGAGGGGGGCCGAGCCGAGGCCTTCGGGCCTGCCGCCACTGCTGATATCGTTATGTGCATTCTGTCCTGGTTGCAGCTTGGGTCCAGGCGCTGCTGGCAGAGCTGCTGGCCGCTGGCTCTGGCGCAGCGCCGGGTTCGCCCAGCGGCCACAGCCGGCCACGTCTCGTCCGAGGGCGGGCGCTTCCCTTTCGGGCAGACCACTTCAGGAGTCTTCGCGCCCCCAGCGCAGGCCTCGCTTACTTGCGTGCACTGGGCCTACGGTCGGGCAAGCCCAGGCGATCGGATGTCAATTTGCCTTCTGGCCTAGAGCCAAGCGCAGGAGAAGACGGGATGGCTGACAAGCCTCAAGAACCCTAGTGGTCTGGCCGCAGTCTACCCCTCCTCTCCCCAATCGTCCTTCCCCTCCTCACTCTTCGTTATTCCTCGTCCTTCTCCTCCTCCTCCTCCTCCTCCTTCTCTTCCTCCTCCTCCTCCTCCTCCTCCTCTCCTTCTCCTCCTCCTCCTCCTCCTCCTCCTCCTCCTCCTCCTCCTCCCCCTCCTCCTCATCATCATCATCCTCGACTCGACGCGACTTAACTCAATGCAGGTTCTCCATATGTGAAGCTTATTCTGGGACGGAGCGACGGAGAAGAAGAGAAATGAATCGGAGCGCCCTCTCCGGGGTCAGCCGTTAGTAGCATGCAACTGGACATCAGGGGCCCCGTCCTACACATCATCGAACGATCAAAGAAGGGGAGAACACAGCAACTCGCTCAAGATACGAACA